AATTTTAATGGTCAAGAAGTCAATCTGTCCTCCAAGATTATTTCTATATGGACATTCTGATACATGACATACCCAGAAAGCAATCTTTTTGTCCTTATTTCCAAATTCTTGCTGGAAGAGATGAGGCATGCATGATACTGCAGCCCCGATATACCAGCAATAATAACCTAAAACAAACAGTCAATTTATCAACATGACTCACCATGCTTCTTTTAATATAGCTGATGGCTTTTTTCATATCCATACCAGACCAGTTGTTGAGCATATAGCAAATACAGGAAGCACAGTATACAAATCGCATGTCATTTTCACTGCCTTCAGGTACTGCACAAAAACTGAAAATAATATGACTTACTATTAACACTGTATTATTATTATCATTATTATTATTATTTGCAGGAAGGTTAGAAACACCTACTCCATGTCTTTACTCACAAAAAAATCTATCACAAATATGGATTTAAAAATCTAAATATGGATTTAAAAACCATATGCTACTTTTACTATTCAGTAAAGAATAGGACTATCAACTTGAGTAATATAAAACTATCTCTAAATCATTACTCTACTCCAAAGTTCTGATTTCTGGGCAGCTTTATATACTACCACAGTTACTCCTCCCAGAAGCCACCACTCAGAGTATGTTTGCTCTCTGCCAGGGATAACTGTGGTACACTGGTTTTAAAATTAATGGGGAAAAAAAAAAAAAAAGCAGCAAGTAAAATATAGGACCTATTGGGTAGTAATAAATTCCAAAGCCCAAGGTTTGCTATGTGAAATTTCTTCTAACTATACCTATAGACAACCCACTAATTGATCATACTGTTTTAACTTTTACCTATTTAATTAGTTTTAGAGAGGCAAAAGTCTGTGTCTTTTATCTATTCCTTTATCTATAAACAAGGATAAGGTAACAGTAAACAAAGACTGTACCAAAGTACTAAGAATTTACATGTACTTGCTGAGGTAAATATTTAGTTTCAGAGTATTTCCAATTACTGTCAATTTATCTTGTATGTCAACATTAATTTTCCCCTCATCATGAGCAGTGTTTTTAAAATACTGACAGGAAAATAGATATTAGTAGATGGAACACAGAAGTAACAGTACAGCAGGGTTTGCTTGTAAAGTCTTTTCTTTAGACAGCACTACGACTGCTTTACTGTTTTCTAGATTTAAAAAGTTTCACCTTAAAAGTCTAAGAAGATTCTTCTTTAGACATACCACATGAACCATCAAATATTAATAAACTCATTAACTTTTTTAATCCTTTAAAAATGTCAAGAAAACTACCTACATTGGAATATAATACTCAATGTTCATCCCTTTCTCCCCCATCACTATGTCTTAAAAAAGAAAAGCTCAGACTAATAAGAGTTTATGATAAACTCTAAAGTTCTAGTATAATATTCTATCCACTTTTTTAGTTCCAAAAGATTTTCTTAAAAAAAAAAAGTAGTAAAGAATGACCCATACCTTCCATCTTCCAGCTGCAGGGCTCTCAAGCCTGCTAAGCAAGCTTCTTTGTTTACGCGGCTTAGGTCATCTCCAAGAATAACTAAGCACGAAAGTCCAGTGTAGGTCATTGCTATGTGGCCACTATCATAAGGATGAGCTGTTCCAGGACCCTGAATTCAAAATTAACATGCTAATTAGTAAAATGAGATGAAAATGTATTACATTAATTTGACACGAAGTTTCAGTAAATAGAACAATTAAATGCTGTTTATACTGATTGGTATAGACATCTGATTGAGAAAAACAAATCTCAATTTTATATATATATATATATATATGTACATATACGTACATATGTACATATATATATTCATATTTTATGAATCCTGTGTTTTTAGATTCCCTGCTAAAAGCAATGGCACACGTAACTGGAGACACTTGGCAAATTCATATGACTGTGACATATGCAAGTTGGTCTATAGCTTAAGGCAGAGTTAGAAAGTTGAAGCAGTGCCTCTATGAAATCATGTCACCTTCTCCAAAATCACTGCTATTTATTCCAAAAATTTGAAGCAGATTATAGAAAACTGGCAGCATGCCATGTACCTTCAGATAGCAACTAGTTATAAATCTTGATGTACTCAATGTACATCACGTACACTGGCTTGTAACCATTATATAAGCAAACTGACCTCATCAAGGGAAAAGTTTCCTTTTTGTGAGGCCTTTCAACCAAGTGATGCAGTTTTTCTATGCTTTCTACTGTAGAAAAATATTGGTATTTTGTGCACAGATAAAACATCTACAAAGCTTTTTTTGGGTCTGCTTCTTTGAAGAAGAAAAATGCTCCTCACTTTGATAGGACTTGCTGCTTTCTACACCTGCATGTGCTGGTACCAAAGCCTCTGGCTATAACCCTGAAGATATTCTGCCTATTGCCGCGAAGGTCATCAAATTCATCTCTACTCGGGTCTTCAATCACTGCCTTGGCAAGAGTTTTTCTTCTATTCCTAGGAAATGAGAACCAAATGCAAAGTCCTTCTCTAACATGTACAAGTTCATTGGCTACTTAGCAAGTATCAAGCACAAGCATTTGAATGCTTTATTTCCATTTTCTCCAGGAAATCACCAGTAATTTTTACACACATACACAAAACAGTAAGGGAGTCATAATTTTTCTAACAATAAGAATTTCTGAGTGTACATGTACTGTGCATTCTTCTAGGAAGTGAGGTGGATATAGCTTTCCCTTAAAGAGCTCCAGTTCATAAAATACATTATTAGACAATAATTAGCTATACTGAAACTTGGAAGCCTGGTTCTTTCTACATCCTTTCTTAGTTTTCTTCCTCACTAAAATCTCCCACCTCCCTTTCCTTCCTCCTGACCCAAACAGAACTAACCTTTGATGGGTTGAATGGAATACCCAGGTATGAAGAGCCTCGGAAACCACAACGACTTAGATTTGATCCTAGAAAAGAAAAAGATACACTTATTCAAAGTATCCCTTATTTTTGCATAGATGCTAAAGCAATTCAATTACACAATCTTTCAGAAATGGAGTATTTTAGTACCAAAGCTTTGTTACTGTCTCCATTTTCATGCTAGTTAACGCTGAATGCTTACTATGCACCAGGTCTGTTCTAGGAGTTTTATGGAAATCTCATTTAATTTCCAAATGAGTAAGAGACAAAATAATGATTTTCTATCAGCTATCTTTTTACAACCCATCACACTGTGTACAAAATGCTTTTATACTTTTCCTATCTGACCATTTTTCAGGTGATCAACATATTCAACTCCCCATTCTACAGAACAGAAAGCAGACATTTTGAAGTAACACAAAAGGAACATCCTAACTCCCTATTCAGTGTCTTTTTACCTTTTTACCTGTCTGGTTTTTTTTTTAAAAAANAAGGGAGTTACAAATGAAAAGAGGAAGGTTAAAATGAACCTTGAGATGTTGGATTGAAACTTGAGGTGTTAGTATGTACTACTGGTTTTTAATATATGGATAAATACATACAGAAACAGATATACGTATGGGCATACGGAGATAGTGTCTGTATATACATGCATACAAATATACATTTTCTAGCTTTGCCTGCTGAGTGAGGGGCTAGAAACAATGATATCCCAATCCCAATGAGCACATCCAGTGCCCAAATCCTGGTTTCTAAACACCACCTTCCGATAAGAACCATAGCTCCTTGAAGAAATGACTGATTCCAGAGCTGAAGCAGGGAAAGTAAAAGATAAACCTGGAAATATCTTGTGCCAGAAAGCAAGGAGATACTCAAAGAATGAAGGGGATATATTGTCAAAAGGGCCCAAGAGCCTACTTGAAGGGGTTCTCACTGGCCAAATCTGGGACAATCTGAGCATCAAAAAACATAATGATAGTAACAGATAATAACCTTGAATAAAACAAGAATCTAATGTCCACAGTGAAACAGATAGATCAGATAGATAGATAGGTAGATAGACAGACAGATAGATAGATAGATAGATAAAGAGACAGATTGTCATATAGAAGCAAAGGGAAAGCTTTTTCTAACAGCAGAATTTCAATTGATAATTATAGCAGGAATGACAGAGCTGAAAAATTATCAATGCATACTAACACCAGTTGATAAAAGTTTGATGAGGGACAGAAGGATAGTTACATAGTCTCCAGATATCTCACAATGAGATACTGCATACACCAATTTAACCAAGTGATCAAAGTTAACATCACCAGTAATAGGGAAAATCAACATCTGTACCTCCAAATACAATGCACTGAGAACATAATATTACTTCTGTAGTATTTATGCCAAAATGCATATCGCCCACCCTGTATTTAACATAAACATCCTTTCCTTTAAAAATCCTTTAAAAGTTTGTTCTTCCTGCCTCCACAGCATAAAATGTATGCTATTATAGATTCTACAAACTCTGATTCACATGTGCACATTCAGTTAAAAACAATTTTGTTTCTCTAAGAACTTACATTTTCATTTTGAAATACTGACCATTAAAAGTTGAGTTAATAGCCTAAACTATTCTAATCTATAAAAATCAAAACTTCACACTTGAAAAGTAATAAACCTAGGAAACAGCCCTTCCATTTCTCCAGTTTTATATAAAAGACTAAAAAGTAGAACAAAAGATAATTCTGGTTGAGACTAAACTTTCTTTATAGCTGCCAATAAAAAGATGAAATTGTATTGTGTGAAAGAATTAACATCGTATCTACTTAATATTCTCCTTAAAATAAACCTTAGATTAAAAAAAAATGACTAAGAAACCAAAAGTGATCCAAAAATCTATTGTCAGCCCANAAAAAAAAAGGATACAATTATTTCTACTCTGTTGAAGAGGAAACCCTCAGAGAGATTAAGTGAGGAGCCAAGGTCACACAGCAAGTGTCAGAGATGAGACCTGAATATTGATCTGTTCTTTCCACTTTGTCACACTGGCAGAAGGATGGACACAACAGGTGAATGCAAAAAAACTGCTGTGATGAAGAGGAAACAAGTTCACTCAGCCAGCCATCTTGATTTGATCTCTTTCTTTTTAAAAAAGCAGCATGGAAGCTGCTACATGGAAATAATCAATTTGAAAGCATTAAGGCTATTGATGTGCAGACAAGCTGGCTATTATCTCTCTATTCTGATTCTGCCAAGAGTGGGGGGAAACGTGAAAGCAGAGATTGTATCAATACATCTACTGAACATACGCTATGCAGCAAAATGTTTTATGACTATGACTTAGGATAATTATTAAGAAAGGTAAAGAAAAAATTTTAATTTCTTTACAAATTCATTGATTCGTTTTAATATTCTGCATCTAGCCTTTTAGTATTATGACAAAGAAGAAAACTTGCTGTTTTCTAAAAATATTTTAAGAAATCATCCCAAGATATTTTCATGTAGCTAACACTTAAAAAATTACTAGAAAATATTATATGAACATTCGGTCTGAATAATCTACGAATGATTAGTGACCTAGAAGTTCAAATTGGCACAACAGTGTCAAAAGAGAGAAATAGGAAAGAAGATTATCAGGTTGCACCAAGGGTTGAGACAAACTTCTGAGGTCCTTCATGTTGAAGACACCATGATGTTATTTAAAGGAACAAAAGAAACTATGTGTTCATTTATTTTAAGATGCCTTACCATGAGATTCAAGTCCAGCTCCCTGTGCCAACCCATTGTCATAGGACTGAAAAAGAAAAACATTGTTCGTTTTAATAGGGAAATAATAATAAAAAAATAAGTTGTCATTATACTGATTTTTTATGTCTTGATCTAATTTTCTCTTTTATATCTTCCAAAATATACATTCTTTCCCACAAAGAAGTAGATGTAGGCATTTTCAAGTACCTGATCTAGCTTTATTCATGACACCAAATTACTGAATGCACACACCAGGCACATTCTGAGAATAGATTGTTCAAAGATGGCGTACCTACATATTCCATATCTACCCAATGAAAAGCTCCAAGCCTTATTCCTCTCCCACTTGCAAGTGCATATGTGTTTAAGGAAAATGTAAGGATTTTATACTCATAAAACATTATAAACATGAAACAAATCTATTTTGAGGCTTTTGGGTAGCTGAGGATAATGGCGCCTGCCTAAATTTGCATTTCCCAATATCTACAAAATCAAAACAGAATAAGAACAATACAACTATATAAAAGTGAAACCAAAGCTGGGAGACATGCTCAAACTTCAAATTACCTAGAAAAACAAACATCAAATCTCAGCAAGCCATCTCTCCCACTCCTAACACGCTTTTGCAGTGAACAAGGGCAATCTGAAAAACTGTAAGGAAGAGAGGGGAGGTGAGCTAATGGCAGGTCTGAGATTGATCTAAAATCACTGCCTGAAAGAGAAAGTCCACCCTACATGTGAAATACAGGCAGTCCTTGCTGTGCACAGTTCCAACATGCACATTCCAGGTGCCATAGCTTAAACAACACAATATGGTTCAAATTTCAGTAACTACTGTACAGTAACCATGAGCAATTGCATAAAATACAAACTTGCTGCTAGCTTCTCAGTTCACAAATCACTACATAAACAATAGATGTGCATCATGACAAGTGACCAATCACGTCACCCCCTTCAATGTCTGTAATTTGTCACTGCATATGTTATTCAGTTCCTGCAGAGACAGCAAAGTATGTGGCTGTGTTGTCTCTTTCTCTTAGTGACAAACCTACATGACAGTTTACAAAAAGGCATAACCAAAAGAGGTTATGAAAGTGGCCACGAAAGATCACAGTACAGTAAAGAAATGAAAAGCAATGATACTGCAAGTGAAATTGAGATCAAACATAGAGTTACAGAAGAAATAGCTGATTGTGGGGATGCTGAGGATGCTGCTGTTTGAACGCCACATGCAGTGAAAAGACCTAAGTGAAGGCACGTATCTTCATGGGTGAGGAAAGTGGGTGGATGAAAAGAAATGAAGATATTCTAGAGAAGTGATGCTGGCAAAAAAATTCACATAAAAGGAACTCGCAGAGATACTGCATAACACTGAAAATACNAATCCTCAAATTCATATGAAATTGCAAGGGGCCCTGAATAGCCATAACAATCTTGGGGAAAAAAATACAGTTGAAAAACTTACACTTCCTGATTTTGAAACTTATTACAGTAATTAAAACAGTATGGTACTGGCATAGGGACAAGATATACGGAACAACGAAATAGAGAGACCTGAAATAAATCCTCATGTATATGGCCAGCTGATTTTCAACAAGGGTGTCAAGACCACTTAATGGGGAAAAAAAAAGTGTTTTCAACAAATGGTACCGAGAAAGTTGAATATCCACATGCAAAAGAATGCAGCTGGACCCTTACTTTACACCATATACAAAAATTTATTCAAACTGGATCAAAGACCTAGACTCAGGAGGTAAAACTATAAAACTGTTGGAAGAAAACACTGGGGTACATATTCATGACATTGGATTTGGCAATGATTTTATGGATATGACAACCAAAAGGACAGGTAACAAAAGAAAAAAACAGATACATTAGACTTTATCAAGATTAAAAACTTTTGTGCATCAAAGGAGATTATCAACAGATGACAAGTCAACCATGAAATGGGAGAAAATATCTACAAATCATATATCTTGATAAGTGATCAATATCTATAATATATGAAGAACTTGTACAACCCAACAAGAAAACAAACAACCTTGAACAGTCAGTCATTTCTCCAAAGATATACAGATGGTCTATAAGCCATCAAAAGATGCTTGATATCACTAATCATTAGGAAAATGCAAATCAAAACCACAATGAGATACCACTTCACACCCATTAGGATGATTATTGTGTGTGTGTCAGAAAAAATAAGTGTTAGTGAGGACACAGAGAAATAGGAGCCCTTATACATTGCTAGTGGGAACATAAATGATACAGCTGCTGTGGAAAAGTTTGGTGGTTCCTCAAAAAGTTAAACATA